CTCCTGTTATTGCTTATGTATTATTAAAAGGGTAGGTGGTGATTCCAGCCCTGTTGCAAGCTCACTATTAAAAGGAAAATTTGCTCATATTGTTCTTTGTACAGTTCACACTGAGGGAGTAAAAGCCACTATAGATTTAATAAAAGAAATGGATTCTGTCAGACAGCTGGCGATCCCTCAATCACTAGCCTAGGCAAGCTACTTATCTCTGAGAGTCTGTTTCCTTCTTTTCCAGCTGGACCAATTCTTCCTGCATCCCAGACCTCACAGAGCTGCTGAGAGGTGACATGAGATGTCCTGACTGAAAGTGATTTGGACAAGGTTTCAAGACTATCTGGAGTGAAAGATGTTAATATTGGGATGTGGGCAGATATAGGGGAAACCAGTTCTGCTAATTTTTGTAATCATAAGACAATCTGGGTATTCAGAATATTGATTTATTTTATTAGTAAACCACCTAGGAATCTTCATCCTCTTTCCTTTGTTTCTCTTCCTTCCCTTCTTCATGGTTTTATTTTTCCACCTATATAATTTCATTTCACTGTTGACAGCAGCATTTGGTTTTGTCTATTGTGAAAAGAATCCTTTATCCCTTAAAGGCCATCAGCCTGGAAGCAATTGCCTCTCTTCTACACTTGGAGGTCTAGGAGGGAATTGCTTTTGCAATCGACATGCTCTGTCCAGTGGAAGGGGAAGGCATATTTGTCATTTTATGTTACTATAATGAAATACTTGAGATTGGGTACTTTACAAATAAAAGTTTCTTTAGCCCACAGTTCTGGAGGTTCACAGCATGCTAGAGCATTGTCTTGGCTCTGACGAACGCCTCAGGGCAGATGGCATTATACTGATTAGATCATTTGTAAGAGGAAGAGGTCACAACATGAGACAGGAAGCTGCAGAGAATCATGCTTCCAATGTGTGAACTTGGGGGACACACTCAACCACATCCAAATAATAGCAGAAGGGCAGTTGACAAAAGCCTTCATTGGCAGGATGTAAGCATCTGACATCAAATTCTACTGAGCTTGAGATCAAGCCCAGAGTCTCAGTGTGGCTTTGAAGGCTTACCAGGACCTGGTTCCTATCCATCTTTCCAGTGAAGTTCCTGAGCTCATTCCTTCTGGGATGCCTTCACAGTTCTTTAAAGAGATATCCTCTTCCTAAATGTGAGCCCCATTACCAGGTGCCATAGCTCTAGCCTTCTTACCATCAGGACTTTCTCCCCAGGTTTGTTTTATTTTGTCTTATTCATAGTGTGTGTGTGTTCCGTTTGGGGGTGAGGATATATGAGTCATGGGACAGTTTTATCTTTCTTAGCAATAGCCCTCTTTAAATATAAAGCGTTCACATATATCCCTCATTCCCACATAGGCAATACTTTATCACTATCAACTTCTTGCAACAAATGGTACATGCTACATCCTATAATACTATATTAACATGTTATTGTCACCCAAAGCCCATTGTTTATATTATAGTTTATTCTTGGTGTTATATACCCTTTGAGTTTGCACAAATGTATAATGTTCTAATTCACCATTACAATATTATACAAAATAATTTCACTGTCCTAAAAATCCTCTGTGCTCTGCCTATTCATGCCCCCACACCCTCAGAACTCCTGGCACTTTTACTGTCTCTATAGTTTTAACTTTTCCAGGATGATTGTTTCCAAGATGAAGAATTGTAAATAAATCTGAATAAACATCTATGTTTATTCCCCTAACACTTTATTTATATAAAGTTTTCAACTTGCTTGGGTAAATACAAATGACACAATTGCCAGACTACGTGAGAACAGTACTTGAGCTTTATAAGAAACTGCCAAATTGTCTTTTAAAGGGCTATACCACTGCCCTGCTCTGGGCCAGCTATGAGGGGATGTGGTTAACTCCTTAGGCAAATAAATATCCTAATTCCTAGTGCCCACAGATCTTGAGATATACTATTGTGGATGTAGGTGAGGTGGAAGTTCTACTCTAGGGAAGCACAAGGCAAATTCCTCTGCTTCATGCTCATTAACCAAATGTGGGTTATTAGAGTAAGTGTCTGCACTGAGGCAACTTAGATTGCATTCCACTCACCTAACACTATGAGGGCTGCTGAAAGCCAGAGAATTCCCACTGTGTTTGCGTATATGAGAAGTGGAGAGGCTGGCTGGTCCTTCCTCCTATAAGAGCCCGGAGAGAAATGAATTACAGTAGATGGGGTAGACAGAGAAGATGGGAGGGGAGGGGAGGGGAGGGGGGATAGTAGAGGATAGGAAAGGCAGCAGAATACAACAGACACTAGTATGGCAGTATGTAAAAACATGGATGTGTAATCGATGTGATTCTGCAATCTGTATACGGGGGAAAAATGGAAGTTCATAACCCACTTGAATCAAATGTATGAAATATGATATGTCAAGAGCTATGTAATGTTTTGAACAACTAATAAAAAAAAAGAGCCCATTATGTGTCTGGCTCCTTCTTCCTATTGTTCTGCTATGAACCTGCTGGTCATTCCTCCTCTTTCAGTGAGGATTTGCCTGTTGACTCTCATTTCCATTGTCTCCCACCATAACACCCAGCCACACTCCTCAGTTCCTTGACTTTGTCATCTCTAACCTTTTCCTCCACCTTGATCCAGCAACCTACTCCCATAATCACCCCCAAAGCCTTCATAACAAGAGTCTGTGCCTCCCAGAAATCTCTGTTTCAGGCTAGGTACTAGCAAGTACAAGGCCCTGAATTCAGTCCCCAGCAACACACACACACACATACACACACGGCGGGGGGGGGGGGGTACAAATAACATATAAACCTGTTTCAAACAACTCACTCTTTGCTGGTTAACAACAACTAACTAGGCTGACTGGTTTTGTTTAAGTTGTGCACAGGGACATTCACACTCATTTCACACTTGCTATGCTCTCCTGATGAATGTTCTCACTTTCTGCAATGACATTTAAAAACCTTCTCCTGTCTTCAAACCTTCCACTCTTCCTACCCCTGGAGCCTGCCTACTGAGGTAGCCTCAAGCACCCTGAGAATACAAAAGTCAGAGAGGAACTCCCTCATCTCACACCAGTCTAGAAGCACTTCTGAATTTGCACTTGGCTTCTTCTTCCTTTCTGCTGTAGGGTAGAAAGCTTCCCTCTCTTCACAATCATGGGATCTGATGGGCTCAGCTCTCAAAAATGTTTGCTCCTTTCATTAGCCACACCTTCTCCTGCAATTTCAATCACTCTTTCTCCACTGTGTCCTTCCTTTTTGCTGTTTTAAGGGGAGAGTATAACTTACATAAAATAAAATGCATTAAAGTTATATTCCATCTAAATGCTGCGGCAAACACCTGTAATCACACTCAGGAGGCTGAGGCAGGAGAATCCCAAGTTCCATGACAGCCTCAGTAACTTAGCGAGACACTGTCTCAAATAAAAAATAAAAAGGATTAGGAATGTAGCTCAGTGGTAAAGTGCCTCTGAATTCAATCACTACTACTACTACTACTACTACTACTACTACTACTACTACTACCACCACCACTTCTAAATTACTGCCATTACTGTTAACATCCCAGAAGTTATTTCATGTTCTTTTCCAGCCAAACCACATCCACATTGGTAGCCACTGTTCTGATTTCTATCAGTACAGATTCATGATTTAGGATTTCATGTAAAGAAATCATATAGTATGTACTCTTTATTTTCTGGCTTCTTTCATTCTATATATTGATTTTTATATTGATCAATATGGACTATTCAGTCCATGCTGCTGTGTCTATCAGTAGTTTTTATTGCTGAGCGACATTCCATTTCAAGAATATACCACAATTCATTTATCCCTTCTTCAGCAGATGGAGATTATTTCCAGGTATGGGGAACTATAAATAAGACTGTTCTGGACATAGTTGTACAAAACTTTTAGTAGAGATATATTGTCATTTTCATTTTGAATTTTCATTTCATTTTGAATATGCTTGTCACAGGATATGCATTTTTTAACTTTATAAGGAACAAACAAGTAACCCTTTAAAATTGCTGTTCCACTTTGTATTCTCATAAGGGCCATGTAAGAGAATTCCATTTGCTTCAACTTCTTGACAAATTCAGGATTAACAGTCACTTTTATTTTAGTGATTCTAATGGATGCAAAAAAGTTCTTAGAATAATGTTTGGCATAAATTTAATCCCCCAAAGAGATTAGATATTGTTACTCTCAGAGTAAGTTCTCAAACATTATGAATGAATTCCTTCTTTTGTATAATCATGTCTCACTCTTCTTGTCCTTTCTACTCCCAAACCCATGTTATAACCATCCCTAGTATTGGCTGGGAATCTATGTAAGTATTATGTTAAGATAGATAGTCATAAATTTATTAAAATATCATCTTTCTGGCAGAGACATCGCCCATGTCTCCCACAATACAGAACAACTGCAAAATATATAATGCAGGTTCACCTTTTTCTTCAACTACCTAGAGGTTAATTAGCATTCTACCCTCCTTTGCTCTTGGAGGTGTTGGGGTGGGTGGGGTGGGTGGATCAAACCTCGCCTTTCCAGCAATGGATCTTCAGGTCCTGACCACCACCATCTTCTCTCTCAAGTTGGAAAACTTGGATGGTCCTACATGGGCACAGCTTCCCCAAAGCTGTGGAGGAAATATGGAGGTCTCGCGTTTGGCCATACTCTCAGGGACAGGCCAGACAGGCTCTGGTCCCCTGAAGTGAGCCAAGCACGTGCTGAGCTCCCAGTAGCAGCACTAGCGGTAAGGTACCTACGGTTCCCCTGTGTGCCGCTGAGGGACGCACTCCCAAGTGCTACTTCTGTTCCCATATTTTCTCCGCCCCCTGCCCACGCTTAATTATCTCCTCTAGTTCTCCCCCACCGCCTTCCTTTCTTGTGAGTGTTTGGTGGGCAGCGAAGTGGGCGGCAGGAACGCCTGGCTTAGCCCTGCGCGCCCTGCCGCTATCTTGCAGAGCGCTGTGGAAGCGAATCGCCGGAGGGTCCGCAATGCAGGAGAATGGCTCTTTTGCCAACTGCTGCGAGGCGGGCGGGCTGGCAGTTCGCCCGGGCTGGTCCGGGACTGGTGGTGCGCTGCCCTCCGGGACGCCCCGGCCTCCCTGGGTAGCTCCTGCGCTATCCACCGTGCTCATTGTCACCACCGCGGTGGACGTAGTGGGCAACCTTTTGGTCATCCTCTCGGTGCTCAGGAACCGCAAGCTCCGGAACGCAGGTGAGCGTCACTCGCTGCTGGGGTCCCGAACTTTCCCTGCTCTCAGGTCTGGGCCCAGATCCCGCGATCCCATCCATTGCCTCCTCTCTCCTTGATCCCCAGCTCCCTCCTCCCACTCTCCTTCCCCCCACCCTTACTCTAACCTAATCCTTAAATTTGGTTCTGCACTCAAAAGTTAGGGCGAATTCTGGCTCCCCAGAAGTGCCCGGTTCTGGCGGCTGCCTCTGGCAGCTGTCCAGGACGCGCTTGGTACATTAAAACAGGTGTGAATGGGGAAAAGGCGTTTTGGGGTTTTTTGATGCGCTTTTGTGGCAGAGTGAGGTACTATGGGATCCCACACAGCTGGACGCTGTTGCTACCTGGAGCATTCCAATCTGTGTCCTGCCAGACAGTGCCCCTATTTGGCCACAGAAATCTCAGGACCTTTAACAACTTGTGCTCTCCCCTACCAAGCACTATGACTTCATGTAGTTGGTGCTTAGAAAATACTTTGTAAAAGAATGAGTGAATTAATGGAAGCATTCTGGTGGGCTTTATATCAAAATCCATCTCCAGGTCATCTGTAGATCCTATTCCAACCAAGAGAATGTATACTCAGAAATTGTAAATTGCTTTCAGATAAAATGGTCTGTTCTGAAAACAGGGAATTTATGGGATTAACTGTGAAAAATCAGAACAATCATTTGGCTAAATCATGGTGCAATCCCAAAGAACAAAACCAGAAGGAGGGAGTATCTGAACTCTGACCTTAACAGGTCATTGGAGCTTGCTAACCATTTCAGCCTGGGAAGAAGTTCAGTGACCTATTTGTTAATTTTGTAATTTCCCATTGGACCCTAGTGGGCAACTCAAATACAGTGTAAAAATAGCAGGAGGAAAACAAATTTAAAGCTTTAAAATGCCTTTTTAAAGGGGCTAGACAATTCAGGAAAACTGTTTTAAATAAATGATTATATAAGTATTGGGGGTTGGGGGGGAAGACTGGCAACTTGAGGATTTTCATCTGAAAAACAAGCCAAAAAATAAAAGTTTGCTCTTTTAGCCACCACACTGGGAAACTGAGTATTGTTAGGGAGATCTAAGCTTTACAACTCAGGCATTTCAATCATGATGGCTACTACTATCTGGAATAAGTAACTATTCTAAGATGTTATTGTATCTTTGAAGGAAAACATATTAGGAAAGAGCAAGCTGTGATTAGAAAACGATAGTTAACAGTTTGGTTGTATTGTCCCTTTGCAGCAACCACAAACATTCATTTCCTGCACAGAGAGGCAGGAGGAAGGCAGCTCCTGGCACTTCTCCCTTAGGAAGGATGGGCCCTCCAGGTTCTGACCCTGGACATTTCTTTCCTTCCCTAATTTTCTGGGTGTTTAGAAAAGGCCTGGCAGATTGTAGCTCAGTGCTCAGTAATTGGGTTTCCTGCCATGAGAAAGGTGGTTGAGGGAACAGACTGCTGCTTCCTCTTGCCTGAGGAGAACAGCATCCTCTCCCCTCTGTACTATCCAGGAAGGTCTGGGCTCTTCTGTGCTCTAGGCAGTCTTCACAAAAAGCTTACTGGTCTGAGAGCAATGAGGGGAATGAGCATGTTAAATTGCTGGCACATCCTCCATCCTGCCCTTCCATGTGTCTGCTACTCACCAGCACCAGAAATATGTATGTATTGCTGAGGGTGAGGAGTGGGGATGGAAACCAGGGCTCATGCATGTTGGGAAAGAGCCATACCATTGAGCTATACCCCAGGCCCCAGAAAAAAAAATAATATGATAGCTAATGACATGTATTCCTGCTCTATTGGTGACTTTGGCAGTCATGCAATTTAACCAGTATTTTTTATTCTGTTTTGTTTTGTTTTAGGTGCTAGAGGTGAGATCCAGGACTATACACATGTTAGAGGAGCTCTCTACCACTGAGCTACATCTCAGTCCTTAAGCAATTTTTATATGACCATTGGCTTTATTTGCCATAGTCATGAAAAACTGTAGTATTGACTTAAACTAAATGATGTTAGTGGAGTGAGATTTCAAAACATGCTTAAAATATTTTGAATAGCACCCTTTCCACTTTTTTTGTTAGACCTTCTCTTATTGATGTGTTTGGATTTACTTAAAATTAAAAAAAAACATAATTCATACCTTTTCATAACTAAGTCTGGCTTCTCAATTAATCAATATTAAGAAATTAGAACTTGGCATTGAGAACATAAAATTTCTAACAACTAGATACATAGCCCAAATTGAGGTCACAGTGTGCTTCTTAGAGATATCTTTATCCTTTACTTGACTATTATAAGCCCAAATCTGTGGGGCAGATCCTTGTCACTCATACAGGGGAATAGTTTCTTCTGCAGCTGGTTGCTGTGTGTGGTGAGTTGGCTTTTTCAGAGACTCCATTGAAGAAAGGCAGACAGGGAGGAATGAAGTGATGGTGAGGGTAGGTTCAGGATACTGTCCTGAGCACACTCTGTCCTTACTGTCCCCCTACCTCCTCCACCTACAGAACAGCAGAATATAGCTCCCATGACATTCATGACTGACCTAACTGCTGAACTACGGCCTCATCTCACTCATGCCAAAGGGGACTGCTGCCACTTCCCATGCAATCCATGCTCTGATGCACAGAGAAAGTCCCCAGCCTCTTCTGCCTGGTCAACATCTGCTTCTTTTCAAACCTCTTCCCCAGCTTCCCTACAAAGTTGTTAATGCTTTCTATCAATACCATGAATAGCAAAGTGAGTATCTCCCTCCTCAGGCTTCCTCAACAGCCTGTGCTCCCCAGGTAGCACTGTAGCACCCGCCTCTCTCTACTGTTTTTATCTCTCCCTCACTGGACTGCATGAAAGCAGGGATTTTATTCCATTTCTGTCCACAGAGCCAGGCACACAGTAGGACCTGGATGCACTTCTGTTGAAACCAATTGAATATGGATGAGATATTCAAAGCAGTGGGACAGAGAGAATGAATGCTACTTCATGAGGTAGGGTGTATCTTAGGTACAGGACTCAGCACAAAATCAGCAGGAGTTTCATGGGAGTAAATTGCTTCGAGTACTGAAAGCCCAAGAACATCTCACTTTTGCCCTCCAAGGCTGACGATTAACACCATCTTCACAAAGGCATGGCTGCTCTCTGGCTGCTCCTATGTGGCTAGAGTCCTTCAGCAGGCTCCAGGTGCTCCATAGTTCTCTGATATTGTACCCTGATGATTCCTCTCAGGGAACATGCCCTCTTGCTGGTCTGTTCTGAACCACTGTAAGCTGCCTTTAAAATGTGAGCTTCCTGTGACTACCTGAATTATCCAGACAGTCCCTGCCCTAGAGAGCTCAGAGAACCCTGTCCTAACAGTAGCATCTGGTCTCCTCTCCTTTAGCAGAGAGAAAAGTGCAACAGTACCCTGGCTCCACAGGCACACAGGCTGTGGCCTCATGATGGGCTTTTATGCTGCAGCTGGAGGAAAGGCCACCTGGGAGGTGTTGTTAGTGAGTAGAAACTTTGGCACTTCTAGGGTATTTCAATCATTTGTAAGGCAGAAAGACAGACAGAAGCTGACATGGGAATTGCTCAGGAAAATATGAAGCATTCGCTTGCTGAACATACAGGTTCTTGTTCAGAGTCTGCTCTATTCACACTGGAAAAGCAACCTTTCCCCCAGGCAGCCAGCAGAGTTCAGGGACTGCACCATTTCTTATCTGAACCAGTACCTACCTATGAGGTTACTGGTAGGATGTTCTGCCTGTGCAGATGTTTAGTTTCCCAGTCAGAGCAGAGCCTGCAAGGTAGCCCCTTTCCATTCTCAATGAGAAATGAGCAGTGTGTGAATCCATGCGATGGCCCTGAACAAAAGCACTTAGAAGGCCCAGAGAGGAGGGAAACCTTTAGTAGGTTCACAATCCCTGTACTCCAGGAGTTCCAGGGTAAGGTGGAGTCCACTCCATTCAGTTTGTTTTTTTTTTTGTTTGTTTTTGTTTTTTTTGCCTACCACCAACACTTACTGAGAAGTCACTTGCTACCAGGTATCTTTTGAGCCAGATTTTGAGTGTGTGTTATCAGCTGAAGGCCAAACTGGGCTGCCTTGGACTCCCTCCCTACCATCTGAGCTTTCCAACTTCACATTTTGGCTGTGCATACCTTATTATATCTTCACTGAGCAAAAAAATGAGCACTTTATAAAATCCCATAATTACGTATTTAGCTGCCTAATGAGGAAAGCTCTTAATCCTCTTTAATTCCCCCCAAGAAATTCTCAGTAGCCCAGGGGTATAAAGACTTTCATGTTTGACTGCTTTTGTTTCCAAAATATTGAATTCTGTATTTAGACGTGATGTTCTGAAAAACTGAGAAGGTACTCAATGTGGGTAATAGGACATCTGATTTTAGACATGTGTTGCTAAAAAAGTAAAAGTTAGGGAGTTTGGAAGGCTAGAGTTCACAATCTGTAGGTAATGTCCTACCTTCATCATCATCTTCATCCACCACTACTATAATAGCCTCAGTATCTACAGACCTTACCATCTGTGTCTGTGTAAGTTCACAGTATGATGTTCATATGATGATGAAATCACCCAATGGCACCTTGCTCCGACCATATCTCTGTATCCCTAATATTAAGTCACTCATAACCCTACTTCTGACATCTTATTTCATGGGGATCCTATTCTGACTCATGAGCCTCTTTCTTGTTCTTTCACTGAAAGTAACAACAACACATAAACAACTATAACAAGTCATAGCTAACATTACTAAGTGTTTATTATCTATCAGTTACAAATCTCTGTCCTTTGAGAGGAAGAAAAGACAAAAAAAAAAAAAAACAAACCACAATCCCCCATCAAAGGCATGTCCCTTCCTAAGTACTAACATCTCTCTCTCTCTCTCCTTTGAAGTACAGCCTACAGGGCAAAACATTACACCCCCACCTTTGCCCTTCCTGATGTCGTTGCTGGTCTACTAACTGCTGAGTTCAATGGTTAAGTTGCTGTTCTTTATCACTTACTATTCCCTTGACACCTCTTTTTCCTGGCTTCTCTATTCTTTTCTTGTTCTTTCTCCATTTTTCTCTGTTGTTGTTATGAGCAATTCCTTCTTTATCCATAAGATGAGACTCCATAAATAAAACATTTAAATAGATGGAAGAAGCCATCTTAAGGAAGCTACAAGAAATTTAGCCCTGTTAGCAATGAGAGATCTTTGTTGATTTCCCTATCATTCTCCTAATTGCATCTTGTTTTTATTTGTTTGATTGTCTCTTCTCTGAGACCATGAGCTTCTTAAAGAGGAGAGAGTGTTTTACTCACTTGCTTCCCGAACCTCCTGGATAGTCTCTAGTAGAAAACTCAGCAAGCTTGTTGAGTAAATGACTCAGTGAATATCTGTTTCTACATTGACATTTAGGTTAGTAACCAGGGGCAATTTAGTCCAACCAGACTCTTCTCTGAGCACAGAGGATGAGAGGAAAAGAGGCAAGGCAGAGGGGCAAGGGTAGCTCTGCCTTCCAGAATTCCTCTATATGATGAAGACTAGACAGCTCAGCACTGGCTAGCTCTTTTCTGGATTACCTAGATTTCCAGAAACAAGGACAGCAGAGTACAGGGAGGGTATTGTGATGGTCCCCTGTGTGAAGGGATGAGCTTTGCATATGAATACTGGAAGGGAATTCCGTTGTTTGCAAACTGCCCTGTTGTGGAGGCCTCTTTCCACTAGCCCACCTTGTCTGTGGAGGCAGATGGAAATGAGTCACTGCAGGACCTGGGATATAAATATTCATTAGAAGCCTGTACACAGGGTGAGTAGCAGTGCTGTGTGCATGCTGATTGGTTTCTCACCTGTTCAGGGAAGAAATGGAGGGAGAACTGGATCTCCTTTTGACTCTCATCCAGATAGGACCTGGCTTCTTACAGATGGGAGACAAAACAAGAATTGTATTCACCTAATTTGAAACGGTGCCAAGAAAGCCACAAGACAGTAAGACAACTGGGCAGATGAATCTACAGCAGGAACTGTTTGATTTCAGCTTTTTAACAACAGCCAGCATAATAGGGGAGAGTAATTGAATCACTTTCCACGTGGAGTTGAATGTGTTCTTCTCACTATTTACAAGCTGTTTGCCAGCCTCTAGGGCATTATTAAGAGCTGAGCCACATTAACAGGCGGAGCTTGACTCGGCTTTCCTAGGGAAACAGCTGGCAAAGCTGGCACCAGCTCCCAGCAGCTCTTGACTTTCTCTGCACGTGCTTGCAAGCGCCAAGAGCCTATTTGCCATTCATCCATGAGCCAGCGGGCCCTGCAGGGACCGATCTTCCTGTGTTGGAAAGAAGTGATTTTCTTCACAGAGTGTGCATGGATGGCGGGGGGGGGGGGGGGGGGGGGGCGAGGAGAGTCCAAAAGAAACAGAACCAGAACTGATGAAGGAACACTAAACAGGAACACTGACCAATTCCTGTGATCAGGAAGTAACTGAAATTTTTCCCAGATTGCTTTAACTTTCAGCATTGCCTTTAAAGTTTTAAAATTGTGGGACAAGAAGTAGTTAGGCTCATGATGCAGCTGAAGCTAAGAAATTTGAAAAGAAAATTCCCACTCCCTGGGATATAAGTGTAGGCTGAGCAGGTGAGTTCAGACCATTGGCACTGGAGACAGCCAATGTGGCGGAGAATTAAATGGAAAGGCACTAGACCTCCCCACCCCAAGCAGATGCACATTTCTTTACTTGAAGCAACAGCTAAAGGAAAACAAGAGTTTTTTAACCAACGAAGTAAATATATTCCCCTAATAGTAGAATAGGAAGGAATCCAGAGCTCAGCCTGAACACAATTCTTCTTCAACAACCCGCCTCCACTGGAATGTCTGCAGAGACAGGGGCATTCCAGTTGTCCAGACGGCTTCCTTTCTATTCACTTACATCCTGTCTCTCTCAAACTATATTGTAGGTCCAGATACAGGAGCTAAGATAGGATTTGAGGGGGAACTTCCAAGATACTAAATAGGTTTCTTTTTAGTTGGTTCTGAATGGGGTTTACCCAGGACCTCTGAGGCCAAAATAAACACTTCTAGAAGGCTGCCTGTGTGTCTTCCAGGCTTCCAGCCCCACAGGTAGCATGTTACATGGAATCTTCTTTGAGATGGGATTAGATGTGTGCCAGGACAAGGGAGGGCTGGAGGCAGTACCTTCCCTGTCCTTGTAGGTGAATAAGTGAAAATGTAGGGTCTGCTTCTCCTGAAGATCTGACTCAGGTGAACTCCCAGTTGGTAGGCTCCAGCATCCTTTGTCTATAACTCCTGGAATCTCGACCACAGCTTGGTTTCCTCGATTGCTAAATCCTGGAGATTGTTTTCGTCTGCCTTTCTAGTCCTATGAGGTGGTTACATCAGCCTCTGCAGAGTGAGGACAGGGCTGGATATCTTAGGTCTGGGTATGGGAGTAAGTATTTAGGTCCTGAGAACTTCCAGGATACTAATTGACTTTTTTCCTGCTGATTCTGAGTGGGGTTGACCCAGAACCTCTATGGCCATTGTAAGCACTAGAGCATCAGCTTTCTTGTCACTTGGGAGTTCCTCCTGTGAGCCCATTCCACCCGCCATCTCTGTTCAGCCACCCTAAGGCTGGCAACTTTGACCTTATCCTGTGGCAAGAGGACAGGAGATGTGAAAGACTATGCCCATGCATACTGTATTGATGCCAGTTCCTGCTGGAGGGAGTGTCTGTTGTCTTTTGAGCATATAGTAGTTTCTCAAAAAGCACAGCGCTTGACAAATGAAACAGATGGGATTAGAAATGGAGCTGCTCGTGCCCTGAACTTCATGTTGAAAAACCTACAGGTTCTTTCTTGGTGCTTTACTCATGAGTTGCTGTAGGTTTTAGAAAGCTAATCTTGAGGAGCTGAGACTGTGAGCCCTGCCACCTCCTTAGGTCTCTGGCCCAGGGTATGTGTGAGTCCTGTTAACAATGGCTATATGGTTCCCTGAGGCTCTCCTGGCTATTAAATTTGATGATGCTGCAGAATGTTCCATTCAGAGAGGAGAAGAAGTTCAGGAAGGCCCCAACACTGTGAAAGAGGAGTGCCCTCATCCCTCCTCACCCAACAGGATAGGGGCTTTGCACTATTCTGAGTGTCTGTCAAGTAGCTGTGAGTATGGGCCCTGGACAAGGCACAGAGGGAATACTGGTCCCCACTCTCAAAATCTTTCTACTATTCCAACTGCAAAATGCAACTCATATGAAGATAAATGACTTTGAGTCACTTAGAAAGTAGTCCATCAACCAGTGGAGGGGAATGTAAAAGAAAACTGTCAAAGAGAAGTGCAGGGAAGCATGGATTTGAGGTGGGGGTGGTGCTGGTAGTGATGGTGAGTCCACATTGCTCACTTTCAGATTCTCCTCCTCCAAAATCTTTGTTGGAGCTTAAATGTTATCAAGTCCCTGTCCATCTTTGCCTGCAATTTGTGAGAACCCTCTGTGTTCCCAAGCACCGGGCATCATTATTTAGTTCTCAAAATTATACTACAAGACAGGGATCATTTAGCTTCAGTTTGCAAATGATAAAGGTAAGACTTTGAGAGCTCAAGTAACTTGCTTCAGTCATCCAATTAGTAAGTAGTACAGATGCAATTAGAATCCTCAACTATGTTTCTAAATGCTATGTCATTTCCCCTCCCAATGCTGAAAGTAACTCAGTGAAGGACATGATGTTCTATATACAAAAATGTTAGGGTCTTTTCTGACTCTTGCTCTCTTTTTCCTGCTTCAGGTAATTTGTTCTTGGTGAGTCTGGCGTTGGCTGACCTGGTTGTGGCCTTGTACCCCTACCCGCTGATCCTGATGGCCATCTTCTATGATGGCTGGGCACTGGGAGAGGCGCACTGCAAGGCCAGCGCTTTTGTAATGGGCCTGAGCGTCATTGGTTCTGTCTTCAACATCACCGCCATTGCCATTAACCGCTATTGTTACATTTGCCACAGCATAGTCTACCACCGGTTCTGCGGGCACTGGCATGCTCCAATCTACATTGTCCTAGTCTGGCTCCTCACCCTGGTAGCCTTAGTACCGAACTTTTTTGTGGGGTCCCTGAAGTATGACTCACGCATCTACTCCTGCACCTTCATCCAGACGGCCAGTGCCCAGTACACAGCAGCAGTGGTGGTCATCCATTTCCTCCTCCCCATTTCGGTGGTGGCCTTCTGTTACCTGCGTATCTGGGTGCTGGTGCTTCAGGCCCGCAGGAAGGTCAAGTCAGAGAGCAAACTGCGCTTGAGGCCCAGCGACATGCGGAGCTTTCTGACCATGTTTGCAGTGTTTGTGATCTTTGCCGTCTGCTGGGGCCCCCTTAACTGCATCGGCCTCGCTGTGGCCATCAACCCTGAAGAAGTGGCTCCCCAGGTCCCCGAGGGGCTCTTTGTCACTAGTTACTTTCTGGCTTATTTCAATAGCTGCCTGAATGCCATTATCTATGGGCTCCTGAACCAGAACTTTCGCAGGGAGTACAAGAGGATCATCTTAGCCCTCTGGAACCCACGGCGCTGCTTTCAGGATGCTTCCAAAGGCAGCCATGTGGAACAACTGCAGAATCAAGCTCCACGTGTTGGTAATGCCCAGCACTTTGCCCGGGCAGATGCTCTCTAGCCTAGATCTGAGGCACACTGGTTGGGCGATAAACCCATGAAATCATGGGTGTGAATTTGCAGCAAGGTTAAGATCAGACATCCTGCTGTGCCACACCATCCTCTTTGCATCCACAGCCCACAACTTGTGGAACTCCATGCTACAGACAAGAAGCTCATCAGCTCCGTTGGTTCAGGCTGACCAGGGGATAGCCACAGGTACTGGATCTGGCTGACACTTTCTGTAGTGTGCTGGGGGCTTGGCACAGACAAGACCAAGGAAAGGGCCTGGGCCAGAAAAGCCAGTTCCTTCACATGGATTGCCCCTTATCCTCGTGCTGGAACCTAGTCACTTCCTTCTTCCCTTCGCCTGAGGGATAGAAAGAACATATCTTTTCGTGGACGCTGGAGTGAAAGAGCCAGATCAGATCGGTAGCGCTGGAAGGTGGGTGACTGCATGGCTCCAGGATGTGGGGAGTGCAGAGGGCAGCTTTCAGTGCTCTCCCCATTAACCTTTTCTACACACACACACACACACACACACATCACAAACAGTCACACTCCCCCTCTCCTCCACCTCAGACATCTGGAGAACAAAGTCTGCTTGGCTACCTTTCCTGATTCCACCATGATCAAATGCTGTGATTTGGGGAAGGTCAGCTAACTATTTTTCAGTTCACTCATTTTAAAATGAGGATTGTGTCAGTGTCTACCTCCCAGGGCTATTGAAAGGATTCAATCATCAGCTTCCATTATTATTCTATTCAACTAAAATGAAAGATACTCTCGAAGAAGAAAAAAATCATGCAAAAACAAGGGAAGGAGAGAGAATGGAGTTGGGGAAGTGGAAGTTCGGTGGGGGGATCTCCACATGAGTACTTTTATTATAATTATGTATTTATACATTTATGTTTGTGGAAATCTCAAGTCTTCATTTAACACCAATAGATTTAGGTTTTTTCTTCAATTCAAATAATAATTGCATGACCTTTGTAGGTCTGAATCAACGTGAGAGGCCAATAGCATATTATCTACTCTCTGGGAAGTCAGAATTGATAAATTACTCTGAGAAAAATTGGGGGACATTTTATTTATATCAGGCAATGTGGTAAATGCTTGATATAAGTATTGATATTAACACCTTTAAATCCTTTCAAAACTGTTGGAAATAATATTATTATCCACTTTCATATTAAACCCAAAGTGAAATGATTGTCTGAGTTTGCAGAGATGTTAAGATCAAAGCTCACTGTGTAGGGGTCATTTGTCTGATGGCAGCACCCACTTCTGTTTCCTCTCCTCACTCCTTGACATGTGTGGCAGGAACAAACTGGAGTGGCTAAGTACCCACATAAGTAAGCACATAAGGTGTGTAGAGGATTGCAAGGAGAGATAAAGATTACCTCAACCAGCTGGTGGTTTTCCTGATTTAAAAGCCCAGAGTTTACCTGAGGTGCTAATCTCTCAGCAGTATTCCAGATCTTCTCCCTTCCCATGAGGAACCTGGGCTGGGTGCTATACCTCGTCAACTCCTTACCTGGGAGCTTATTATTATTGCAAATCATTTGGGCCCCACCAAAAAGGTTTAAATTGTGGAAATCTGGAGAAGAGTCTGGGAATGTGGTTATGAGAAGTCCTCCATCAAATTGTTATTAGATATTAGAAGTCCTCCATCAAATAATTGGTAATGTAGTGTCATTATTGTTGCACTGTTAGGCCAAGGGTAAACTCTGGGAGACCTCCTGGTTCACACCTCAGTCTGACATGCACGAGAGTCTTGTGCTAGAGTCTTAAAGCTTCTCCTTGAGCTGTGGCTGCTTTTCTTGGTTCTGAACACTTGAGGCTGACCTAGTCAAGACAGATATTCTTCTCTGCCCTCACTGCCGTCTCCCACTAGGTACCAACTATAGAGATTTGCCCTTGACTCCAGATTTGGAGGACAGGGAAAAATGAATTTCTTTCATTTTTTAAAGAGTATTTTTAGCATTTATTGTTATTTTTATACATATAAATTGTACAGATTAATGGGTGATATTCTATACATGCATATATTATGTAGCAATCGTATCTGCCCTTCCTTCTACCCTTTCATGTTTGTGGGGAGGGAGAGGTACTAAATTCTTAACAACAGAGTGCTCCCTCCCCCTCCCCTTATCCCTATGTTTTAGTGCTGAGCTGAGTGCATTGCACATGCTCAATAAATATAGATTGAAGAGAGATTTGGATTGAAGGAACAAATCTCTCTTCGGTTTTCTGGGCCCACAGATGTAAACTAGTTTGCCTAGGCTTAGCACTGACAGTCCACTCATTGAAGACTTTTCTTGTATCCTCAGGTTTTTGGTGATGAACCAGGAACCAAGAGAAGGGCAGTGGGGAAGCCCAGGACATCAGGTGAAGCGCAGTCGGACGGCCTCACACTGTGGATCTTGATTTTAAATAAAGACAATATTGCAAAAATGATGCAGGGATTCTGTTCATCTTCCACCTTGTTGACTCTGGGCAGTCTTGGTTAAAAGGTCCTTCTGGGACTTTCCTCAGTACTCCTCAGTTCTGGATTCTCTGTGAAACCCTCAGCCATCAGAGGAACTCAAGTATGGGGCCAGCCTTCGAACTGGGTTGACAGCTCAGATGATCCAACCTGGGCTCACTGGATCAAGAATCTCTCTCTCTCTCTCTCTCTCTCTCTCTCTCTCTCTCTCTCTCTCTCTCACACACACACACACACACACACACACAATTTGTGCAATATTTTGAGTATCTCTTTACTCTCCACCTGCTCCTTCTCTGTACCCTTTGTCCTCTTCTGAAATGCTGAAGTAGCTCATGGGGCCTCTTCTGGGGTTGCTTTTGTCTCAGGATAAGTAGCCTTCTCCTAGGAATGTACATTGGAAGCATTTGGGGAACACTCAAAAAACACAGAATCAGTCCGTGAGGGATGGGGTGAAGAACACCTACGGATCCCTATATGCTCCTCAGGTGCTTCTCATCTGCCGACTTGGCTGAGAGCCCTGTTCCGTGAGTACAGGCCCATGTGTCACTTCATGCCCTTCGTTATGACTTCCATCACCCATCTGACTGCTGTACATCTCCACCTAGGAGGTACTGGGTACTTCCTTCATGCCAAGCACTGTACTAAGGACTTTGTATGAGTCAATTATCAGATTAAATCCCCTCCATAACCCTATGAGAAAGTTACTAGTATTTTCTTCAATTTGCAGATGAGGAAACTGAGGCATAGGGAGGTTATATAATTTGCTGAAGATCACATAGTTAATTAAGTGGTGGAGACAGTCTCTGAAGCCAGATATGACCATAGAGCCTGGACTCTATATTTCTATCTGTATACCTTTTGCTGTGTCAGGATTCCAGTGTAGGTTCATGATAATAAGATCTAGCCAGTCTCCTCTGAGGAATTTTAGAGTCATCTCCCTCATCCATTATATTTAATCAATATGGATGATTTTGCCTTGAAATTTTCCTTCAAAAATTTTTTAGGGCCAGTGATGCAGCTTAGTGGCAGAACACTTGCTTAGTGTCCATGAGGCCCTGGGTTCAGTTCCCAGCAACACAGAAAAAAAAAATGTTCCAGAGACACATCTAGGATGTAGAAAGTCACAAAGAACAAACAAACAAACAAATAAACAAAACGACCATTTTTCTTTAACAAATGATAATTAGCCAGATATACCACAATTCACAGATTAAAAAGAAAACTCACCAGGATATTAAAAAGAAAAACCTAAAGTCTGGAAAGTGATGAGACTTTCCTAGGCAGATAGGTAGAAAAATGAAGGAATTCCCATTAGATGTCTGTGTGTCGGGGGGAGTGTAAGGAGAAGCCAACAGGGCCGTTTTTCTTTTTAACTGTAACTTTAAAAAACAACACATAACATGAAATCTAACAAAATTTTAACTGCACCATGTGTTACTAACTATGAGCTCAAGTTAGAGAGCAAATTTCTAGAAACCTTTTCATCTGCCAAACTGAACTGTTGTACCCATTTTCACCTCTCTTCAGCCCTTGGCAATGACCATTCTACTTTCTCCTTTTATGAATTTGATTCCTTTAGATACTCCTAAGTGGGATCATGCAGTATTTGTCTTTCTGTGCCTGGCTTGTTTTACCTACCATAATGTCCTCTGGGTTCTTCCATATTGTCCCCATGGTGGAATTTCCTTCTTTTAAAGGCTGAAGAAATTCCCTTGGGTGCATACATTATGTTCTTTACCCATACATCTATCCATATACATTTAGGCTGCTTCATGTCTTGGCTAACATAGTACTACCCTGAACATGGGTCTTGAAATATTTCCTTGAGGTCTTGATTTCAATTCTCTTGGATAAAGACTCAGAGATGGGATTTCTGGGTCATAATAATAGTTCTATTTTTAATGGAGGGGGAAGGGCAACAGGAAGGGAGAAATTATTGAGTCACAGAAAACTAAAGAGGGATTGGGGGTAAAAAGAGAACTCATCAACCACCTAAAACCTGGCAGGTGGACTAAAAAGATAGACTTCTCATGGCTGACAGCACAGAACTCTGTCCTGAGTATCATCCATGTTTTCTAATCAGGAGAAAGTCATTCCCACCTCCCAAATATAGCTCAATTTGTAACAAACTTGTGTTACAAAAACTCCAAAGCTGCATCAAAGCCCAGACTCAGGTAACTGTGAATTAGATTAACCCACACTAACCCATTAATCTTGACAGGAAAATGAGTGTGTCCTTTTCTGGGGATAAATGTTGTTTACTTCAGTTTTGACTGTTTGTTTCATGATGTGGATGGCATACAATAAAAATTTACATGATATAAATAGTGGAAAGAAAATGTGACTCATGGATAAAGGAAATCATCAATATAAGAAGATGCAGACAAAGTACAGGTATTAGAATTAGAAGATGAATATGTTGAAATAAATATGGAAATATGTTAAAGGTGGTAGTGAGTAAGGTGGAAAAGGCATATGATTGAAATTTTAGCATAGAGATGAAAACTATATTTAAAGAAAGGAATATTGAA